GAGCCACCCAGGCGCCCTGTAAAGCTCCCTTTTTAAGTAGAAAAGCATTACTTTAAAAATAAAGTAAATGCATTCTGTATTTTTCATATACCAAACAAATCATACAATAAATTCAACAAACACATTCTGTATTTCCTCACTTTGTAGTTCTGCCTCTCAGACTTGGCAAATGATGGAGCAGATTGGCAGATACGAGTTTGAATCTGGCAATTCTTTGCCATCTTGGGCCAAACTCAAAATAAGGATTAAACCACCTGCCCTGCCATCACTTACAATTTTGAAGACTGAAAGAGATATAAAATATGAAAGTATTTATAAACTGAAAATCATCATACGAATACACCCATCACTTTTTAGAAGATTGCTACATTAATAAAGTCAGATATTGTATTATGGTCTATACAAGACATGACAGAAGACCTGAAACTACTTAATCTAAATAATATTTTCTGTAGGTTGAATATTTTTTACCATATGATTCTTGGTTCTCCATCTAGATACCATGGATCTAATATAAACAAAAAACAAATTGGAATCTATACATCATATTATACATTGATCCAAATTTTTTTGTCTTGTAAGAGGTTTATTTTTAATATTATTTTGCTTGCCTTTGGTCTAATGGAAATTTGTGAAAGGGATTTTTCAAAGATTTAAGTATAAGGCATAGCTAACTAGATGGGAGAGACATATATAAGTACAGTAAATGTATGAAAATGAGTGGGTATGGGACAAAGAAAAAGAATAATGAATATATCAGAAAAGTAAAGGAGAAGCTCTTTTTTAAAGCAACAAAAACTCAGTGAGAATTTAACTCATTTCTTAAGACCAGAAGCCATTCAGGTCAAAATAACATCTCAGCATAACAATATCCCATCAGAACACACCTTCAATTATGGCTCTGCACTAACATCTAACTACTCTGATGGCACAAAATTAGATCTATGCTCTTTTTTGTTTTTTACAGATTTATTTACTTATGTTATTTCATTTATAGATTTTATTTATTTATTTGAGAAAATGAGAGAGAGAGAGTGTGTGCGAGTGCACAGAGGGAGAATGAGAGGGAGACGTAGACTCCCCACTAACAGAAGAGCCCAATGCGGGGCTCGATCCCAGGACCCTGAGATTATAACCTGACCTGAAGGCAGACACTTAACTGAGCCACCCAGTTGCCCCTTATTTATTTGACAGAGACAGAGAGAGAGAGAGCCTACAGTGGGGAGAGGGAGCCAGAGAGAGAATCCCAAGCTGACTCGTCACAGAGCATGGAACATGACATGGGGCTTGATCTGACAAGCCTGAGATTATGACCTGAACGGAAACCAAGAGTCAGAGACTTAACCGACTGTGCCACCCAAGTGCCCTGAAACTAAATCTATGTTAACACAAACTTACCAAGAGAGACATTGAATCGTTTTAGTTCACAGAAAGTGTCAAAAATCCACCTACTCCAAAAAAGATTTTTGCTTTATCTTCAAGATGAAGAAATATCCTATTATAAAAAACAAAAGTAAAATAATTAGATTTAATAAAAGTTCCTGGAAGAACTAGTTATCAACCCTTATGATATTTAGGCAGCTATTCTTTGATGCAAGGACTAGAGACATTTCTGAAAAGTGTCTATACAGAGCATTTCTGTTTACCGAACACTATTTGGGAACTGACATCACAACAGAAAGGCAGATTCTGAGTTATTTCCCAAGACCAGTATACCTGCATCTCTCTTTATCTTTTCTGTACTTTTTTAAAGAAACTTAAGCAAATGTGAAAGCAATACAGAAAATCAGCGTTGGACCCACCTATAAATATACTCCAATAATTTCCAATTATTCTAGTTATAAGTAAATGTTCTAAAGATTCCTAATTGGATTAATTGCCTATTAAATCATTTGGGGTCCATGACTAGAAAATTTGGGAAAGAACCTGGATTAGTAACACGCTAGGAATAACATTTTCTTGTTACCATATATTTTTTTTTAATTTTTAAGATTTTATCTATTTATTTGAGACAGAGTGAGCATTTAAGAGTAAGGGAAAGGGCAGAGGGAGAAGGAGAAGCAGACACTCCACCCCATCGCTAGTAGGGAGCCAGACTGGGGCTCAATGCCAGGACACCAGGATCATGACCTGAGCTGAAGGCAGGTGCTTAACCCACTGAGCCACCCAGGTGCCCCTCGTTGTCATGTGTTTTTTAAAGAGACATTTCTTTTCAGTTTTCATATAAAAATAATATTTTAGGCTGAATATTTTTTACCTCATGATTCTTAGTTCTCAATTCTATTCTCCCTAGAATTTGACAAGTATGAGATATAAAGATTACACAAATAATTCCTGTCCACTTTCACTAGTAGAGTATTAATCTCAATAGTTTATGAAGACGCTGCAACAGATTCATAAGTTTAAAATAGCAACTTCTTCAGATTCAAGGAACTACAAAGCCACCACCAAAACGTTCCAGATTTTTCCTAGCAGAAAGGGCAGCAATGTTCTAAACTTTCTAGTGCTGGGTGTTTTGTTATACCTAACCAATATCATCTCTTTCTTATTAATTGTGGTTTATTATTTTATTTTAATGAAACCCCCAAGTTTAATCAAGGTAAATATCTAAGCAAAATGAAAAAGAAAAGGAAGACTTTGTAAGTAATAGATATTATAGAGCAGTATCCAATTTTACTGCTAAGGAAAGATACGAATTTATTCAGGATATTCACTATAAACCCAAAGTAGAGAACAGGAGGAAGGAAAACCTGAAAGGTTATGATTATTTTGTCACCTGCCATTCATTATCATCAATTTAAGGCAGTGCAGTGGCATTTGCTGTATTACAAAAGGGGGAAAGCAATAGCCACCCTGCCCACCTTCCAGGGTGGTTGAGATCAAATGAGATACTTCATCTGAAAGGGCTCATAACCACCAAACACTGTACCAACATCAGAGCTTGAGTGGATGCTCTGAAAGGTACATTCAGCTGGAAAAGGTAAGGTTCATTTGGAAAACAAGTTGGCAATGTTTCAATAACCATGAAAATACTCATACCTTTTGATGGAGTAAAATTCTCACCTCCCCTAACCAACTCTAAGGAAATGTCCAAATAAATGAAGAAACCATACACATGTAGAAAGTCATTACACTGTTAATCTGAAGCAGCCGAGTATTCATTCCACCACGTGTTTAATAATGAATGACTACGATGGTCAGCACTGGTGATCAGGGTAGACAAGGCCCTAACTACATGCAGTTTACATTCCCACAAACAGATGGATTAGGGAGGTCATGATTAACACAATTTTCTGGTTTCTTTCTTTTTCCACTTCATATCAGTAAGTTCTTAAATAACAATAAAAAACTTTAAATTCCATTACATTATCTGTATTTCTGAAAAACTCAGAAGGAACTGACACCACTTATGAGACTTGTTAGTACTAAAGAAGTCCCACTGGGGTGATTTAATCCCACAGGTTTCTGCTTTAGATATGCCAGATGGTTAAGAGATAATTTTACAAGACATTTTGAGGTCAAGGGAGCAGCTGTACCTTGGGTTGAAGGGACAGATTCACTGTCATAATTTTTGCCTGCTTGCTCTATCACTAGATACGAAGATACAATCTTTTTAAAGAAATCATACACGAGACCTATATTTTTAAATATATTACATCAGTGTGGTCCCTTGCATTTGTGTCTAACAAGCTAATTAGGGTAAAGGTTTGTAAATAATTTAAATTTGCTCCATTATAGAATGGTTCGTCCAAAGGCCTCAATAGCAAAGGTTAACAACGTCTGTGAAAATCATAGGGCGCCTTTATTTACAGTATAGAATGGTTCGTCTAAAGGCTTTAATATCAAAGGTTAACAATGTCTGTGAAAATCATAGGGCGGCATTTATTTACAGAACTCGGATTTTGAATTAATTCAGGCATCCAACAGAGGCCATTGTTACAGGGAATGCAAAAAAAAAAAAAAAACCGATTTAACTCTGCTGAGCCTTAAAATTACTGTAATTTTCAAAAGAATCTTGAGAAGCCATAAAGTCTTAAAAATTATAGCGACGCACAACTCCGTAAGATTTTCCAAACTTAGTATCGTGACTCATGCTTTCAAAACACATTTACTGAGTGCCTACTGTGCGCCAGGCGGACTCTGTGCTGGGCAGACGCTGTGTCACAAAATCCTGACCAAGTTTTGAGGAAAAGGGTATTTGACACAACAAACCCACGAGGAAAAAACACAACGCTGCATTTAAATACTGAGAACAAAACGAAGCTGGACCATTTAATTTTGTAAGAGGTTCCTTCCGAGTCCTGCTTTGGGAGATCGCGACAGTGAAGTCGCAGAAGGTGGGACACGGAACCGCGGCCGGGGGGTGTCTTCTGTTCGGAAACTCCTCCAGGATCGGGAGCGCTGCCAAAGGTGAGAGGTGGGAGCAGAGAGGACTTCGCGGAGCCCGCGCCCCGCGCACCTGGCAAGCACCGCCTACCCCGAACGCAGGTGCCTCCGCCACCGGGCGGCCCGGGCTCAGGGGCCGCTCGCCTCGTCGCGCCACGCGGGACTCCAGCCACCGCTCCGCCGGCTACCCGGGCTTGAGTTCGAGGCTGAGCGTCGAGTTCTAGCTCAGGCTTCCCGAGGCGGGCGCGGACCAAGCCGCGCTCCCTCACGTCCCCGACCCGGCCCTACACCTCCCCCCGACCCCAAACGGCCTCCCCTCATTACCCTGGCGGCGACCACGACCAGCAACTCTCCTCAGGCGGCCAACGGTGCGGGGCCTATGCGCCCCGGGAGCCCAGCCCGCCGAGGGGCACCGCGAGCGCACAAGACCCGCTCCCAGCGCGGACCGCGGGGCGCAGCAAGGCGGCGCGACCCGGACTGGGACTGCGGGCCTGGAACTCTGCCCCAGTCCCAGGCAGTCCGCCCGGACTGGACTCGCCCCAGGCTTGCGGCCCCGCCTCCCGCCCCGGGGCCAGGCGGCTAGAGGGCGGGGCCTTCTAGCTTGAGGGCGGGACAAACGCGCAACAACTCGGAAGGGTGAGGGGGCGGACGGACAGGAAACCACAATTCCCGGCAGGTCGCGCGCTGGCGCCGTGGAGACTGCTGGGAGAGTGGGACTCCTTCGTTCTTCTCCAATGTGCGGGTCTGCTAGGGAGCCGGCCTTGCTGCAAAACCGAAGTCGCCCAATGATGATGTTGTGAAGTCGCCTGGCCGTCCCTGCCACGCCCGGGCGGTTACTGCAAGCCGCGGCCGCTTCGGCTGCATCTCTCAGGCTACCACCGCTTTAGATCCTATTCCCTGAGGGAGAGCGGGCGGAGGACGGAGGACGTCGGGCCATTCCCGTGAGTAACATTCCCGGGCGTGACTCGAACTTGCCCTTGCCAACTTCTCCTGAAAGCCGAGGAGCCTTCCCGCCCCGAGCTCCTCCCGGTCCTCGGAGGTCACGCGCGGACATCAGAGCCGGAGGCTGGGTATGGCAGGCCCGGGTCTTCGCCGGCTCGCCGCCCCGCGGTGGGAAGCGGTTTGTATCCCAAATGTGGGTGGGAAGTGATGGGCGCTGGGCTCTGGTCTCCGGGTTCATCTCAGTTGCATCTTTGAGGATTGGCAGTATCTCATTCTTTGCCGGAGAGCATCCACCTGGAACCCCATCCCTGAGCGATGAGCGTCTTTAGTGTCTGGGCATTAAACCTTAAACCTCGGTCACCATCTGTGATGTGAGCGAAAGGAGAGAATATTGCGAAGAGCTCTTTCTATGCTGAGTTGGGCTTTTCTTGCGATTGATTTTGAGCCAGATACAGAAACGGTTAACTTTAGTTTCAAGCGTAAATAATAGATGTTGGCAGATGTCCTCGTTAGTATCCGCGTAAAGATAATCTCCTAAACACTTACAAGTGTTCTGGGTCATAATAATAATGGTGAACTCAGTTCATTGCCCACGAATCTTATATTTAAAACCTGAAATTTCTGAGCCAGGAAAAAAAAAAAAAGAAAAGAAGAAACCCAAAATCAGTAACTTTTCACTGGGAATTCATCAAGCTAGAATAGACCGTGGAAATAAAAAGACATGTACTCTTCCAGTTTTTTTAAAAGGAAAATTTGTTCTGACCTTCAAATCTTTGCTGTAGAATTGGAAGTCTGAGTTACAGTGATCTCCAAATAGCATGTTAATAGCGTTGACATGACACTTCAGAACAAACTGTGAAGGACATTTGGTGGTGGGAAAGGGCAGGGATGAAGACACTTTATCATCTCAGCAGTTTTTCTAGCTTTCTATTTTTAAAATTAATGTTCAACGAGTCTCAGACATTCAGCAATCACATGTATGAAAGATAGTGTCTTGTTATTTTACAGATTTATATTCATATGTTGAAGGAGTCATAAGAAAGAACAAACATTTGAGTACATTTGACCCTTGAACAACAGGGGGGTCGGGGCACATACAGTTGAAAATGCAAGCTAGAAAAAAGAAAATGTTAAGAAAATTATAAGGAAAAGAAAATAACATTTACTGTACTGTATCGAAAAAAAATCTGTGTATAAGTGGACCCTTACAGTTCAAACCCATGTTCAAGACAGCTGTACTGTTAATCAGCCAGGCACACTGGTCATGAGCTCGATATATGTTCACTCGATTAATCACCATAATAACCCTGTTGTGCTAATCTGATGCTCAGAGGTTTTGGTGAAGTTATAAGGGGAGATTCAAACCTAGATCTGTCTTGCGTCAAAGTTACAGGTCAGGTAAGTTGTACCTATGTCAGAAATTACTCACCTTAAAGTTTGGATGATTGAAAACTATTTTCCAGCATTTTTTCCTAATAGTGGTTCCTTATACACCTTGACTATCTGAAGGTTCTGAACCCCTGCTTTAGTACTTTTGAACAAAGTGTTCTCTCTGCTTGCCATTCCTGTACCCAACAGAGCTGCTCATTATGACCCCAAAAGGCCATTCCAAATCCACCTCAGTTTACTTAAGGTCCTTTCTAATTCAAAGATTTAGTGATTCTGCAATTGAAAATATGAGCCAAAGATATGATTCTCCACTGGAAACTGGAAATCATGGTTTACATCAGTAGTCACGAAGAGTAGAAAAACTAGTTCCTTAAAAATTTTACATCAGTACTCAAAATATGTTAAACACCAATGTAAGAAATGAGACAGATAGTAGTATATAATTTCATGATTATTTTGAGCTCTTTATATTATTTATAACAGTTTTTGAACCTCTTAGTTACCATCTTACTTAGTTGTTAAGAAATCTGAGGCATTAAGGTAATGCATTTAAAATGACTTAGTAAATGAAGGGACTAAATTATTCATGGCTTCCGGTCATATTTGCTCAGACCTGCAGTGTTCATGTGTTAATAGGAAACATTTACGTAATACTTACTACATTTAGATACCTGTCTTAACATTTTATCTATATTACCCTCACAATAGCACTATGAGGTATTTTTGTAGATAGGCAGCTGAAGCGGAGGGTAAATTTACATGTCCAGGGTAATTCATCTACAAAGTGGTGGAACTGGGTGTCAAACCTAGGTGCACTCGGAATTTTTAACATTTACTGAGCATCTGCTGTGAACCAGCCCCACTTCTGGGTGTTTTTATTATAATTAGATCATTTACCAGTACAACTACCTTAAATAGAATGTAAGTTCAGCATTCAGTGACTGCCCAAAGCTACAAGTGAATGTTTGAACCAAGGTTTGAACCTACTCTTGCCTTTCTTCAAAGCCCTTCTTCTTTCTCCTACTTTCCCTTAATAACCAGATCTTTATTAAATATCTTTGATGGGCCAGATACTGTGCTAAGTGCTAGGGATTTAGCCCCTGCTCTTAAGAAATACAGTCTGAAGAGGGAGAGACACAGTTATTAATAGTGTATTAATAGGATAGCAGTATCCAGAATGCAGCCTACAGAGGTAGAAACAGAGAAAGGGCAGTGAACTCTTGTCTGTAGGGTGGGAAGGCTTAGTCCAGTCTTAGAAAAACAAATGGGAATTAGCCTGGGCAAAGAAAAGGAGAAGGGGCTGTTTGGGATAGAATTGTGCCCACCAAAATTTTATGTTAAAGTCCTAACCTCTGTAACTTCAGAGTATGATTGTATTTGGAGATGGGGCCTTTGAGGAGGTGATTGACTTAAATGGGGCATTTAGGGTAGGTCATGATTCATTCTGACTGGTGTCTTTATAAAAACAACTGTAGAAACAAAAAGAGACACCAAGGATGTGTGCACGGAGGAAAAAATTATGTGAGAGCACATTGAGAAGGTGGGCACCTACAAGCCTCAGGAGAAACCAAGCCTGCCAACACTTTGATATTCAACTTCTAGCCTCCACGACTGTGAGGAAATACATTTCTTTCACTTAAGCTACTCGGTCTGTGGTATTTTGTTATGGCAGTCCTTGCAGACTAATTCAGGAATGTTCTAGCAAAAACGAATGACAACAAAAAGCCTTTGAGGTGTGCCAGGTGATTAGGTTTCACTGTAAGAAGTGTTGAGCGATGAAGCTGGAGACTCGGCTGGGCCCTATTAGGACAGTTTTGTGTGAAACACTAAGGAGCTGAACTTTACCTTAAGAAGATGGAATGGAGAGGGTTTCTAGCAGAGGAAAAATATTGAATATTCATTTTAGAAAGACTACTCTGACCTTTGTGTAGGACGGATTAAAGGGAGTAAGACTGGAAGCAAGAAGATCAATTAGGTGGAAGCTGAACTAAATATTTTCTCAGAATATTGAAATGTCAAACTAAGAACTATTGTTAACATAAGGGAGATTTTAAAGGGCACAGCTAATCCTTAGGGTGAACATGGAGAATTGAGGAGGAATTTCTGTGTACCTCTTAGTACCTAGAAACTGGCTTTACTTTTGACATTTTGCTTTCCGTAAGTAAATAAAGATTCAGCAGTCATAGAATAGTCAGTATTTTCCCATTAACAGACACTTTCATGGTGCTTACAGTGTTCTAAGCCAAATCTTTTGGCAACCTTATGAAATTTCTGCTATTTCCATTTTATACATAAAGATAACAAAGCGCAGAGAGGTTAAGTAACTCACCCGTGGTCGCACAGTTAATGACAGTGTTACATTCAATCTTAAGCAGTCTGTCTTGAGAGTCTGTGCTCCTAGCCATTGTACCACATTTGCCATATATTATTTATCAAGATTTTCAACTACCTATGAGAGGAGGAGGGAGTGATACAAAAATAAATTGGGTATGTATGCTGTAGGGAGTATATAGTTTATCAGAGGAGATAAGGAATAATTACATGGTTGAAAAATATTTTAGAAAAAAGTGGAGAGTATTGGGAACTAATCTTACTTCTGGGGCTTCTGGAAAATCTGGCGTTGGGGAAAAGTGGCATTTGAACTAGGGTATGAAGAATGGCTATACCGACTGAGGTAGCCAGGTGCCCCTCAGGTGTTAGAAACTTGTTTATTGTGGGGTTAAGTTCAGACTTCTTAACCTGAACTTGTCATATTCAAAGCTCCAAGTACTTTCCCAGTAATCATTCCCACTTAAATTGGTCTGTACATTGTTGCCAAACTGGTCTGTCACCTGTTTGCTTTGGGGTTTCTTTTTCTTCTTTTGTCCTTGACCTACTGGTTATTCCCCTTCTCACTCCAATCATTCCATCCTTGAGGAACGCACTTAAATCTTACTCCTGTGTGAAACCAGACCACTTCAGCTAGAAAAGAGCTTTCCCTCCGCCTGACTGTATAATTTAATACTCATGAAATATTTATTATCTGGTGGTGGTATCTTCTTCTCTTAGATATCCTAGACCATTAGATCTTAGATTTAATCTAGATCATGGAACTCATTAGAGCTCTCCCTAATAGATCTTAGATTTCTTAGGTCTTTAACTTCCCTTAAGGCAGATTGTATACTGTCGTATGCTGTCGCATACTACTTTTTTTTTTAATCTCTTTTCAGTTTATTGGACAGTTTTCAATAAATGCCTCTTGAATTAAACTGAAAGGGGCACCTGGGTGGCTCAGTCATTAAGCGGCACCCCTTTCAGTTTAATTCAAGAGGCATTTATAGAAAACTGTCCAGTGAGTAGCTGATTGACCAGTTATTAGCTCAGGTAATTTTATTGAAATTTCTTAGGTAACAGGCCTCTTAATACGTGATGTTCTAGCTATACTACTGACTCACATAACCTTGGGGATATCCTGTTTACGCTGTATTATGATTTATTTGTGCTAGAAAATGAGCGTACTCGAAGTATATAGGTGTAACTAATCCATGTTGTTAAGATCATTGAGATCTTGGAAGCTTATCCATATATATCTGTCAGTGTTTGCCAAACTTCAAGTTTTTTCTCTTTAGAA